CCAACAATCGTTCTCAATACAATCAACCTGGCTATAGACCAGCCATAAATAATCCTGCTCAAGTTAATAACTATAGACCACAACAACCTTCGTATGGTCAAGGAACATTTAATCAAACACGTCCTGCACCGAATCAACCTCAATATCCTACATATGGACAAAGTTCTTTTAATCAAACACGTCCTGCATGGCAGCCACAACCATCGCAATATCCCGCCTATGGACAACAAAACACCTTAAATCATACAAAACCTCAACTACCCATCAATCCACAATATCCCGCCTATGGACAACAAAACACCTTAAATCATACAAGACCTAGTTTCCCTCTACCTTCGGCTCCTCAAGTTCCTGCTTATCCTATACTACCAAATAATCCCAACAATAAACCAGCAATGCCTTCAAATTCTTGGACTCCACCCGCAAATCAAACCCTTATATATCCTCAACTACCTAATAAAGATATGCCACCAGCTTCTCCAGCTATTGGCAGTAATGGTATACCTTTAGCACCTCTACAACCAGCTCCTCAAAACCCTCAAGGCCCTCATAATTGGCATTCTGGAGGTCAAGCCGTTTTAAGCTATGGTCCGGGTCATTATCCCTTGCCAGCAGGTAATACAAATAAAACTCCACCTTCACAGCAGGGCAGCAGTAATCCTTATGCAAATATGTTTAATTAATATTGAGAGAAGGATTTTGTAAATGTTTGAGAGAAATAAATTATTAAAAAAAGCACTATAATTGAACAAATATTTTAAAGTGATCAACAAATTTGAGGTAAGGAGATCATAGGTTAATAAAAGCGTTCCCAGTATTTACAAATTACATATTCTGAATTCTTAAAGATGTCCGTCAATCTTTGGGAATGTTTACAAAAATACTAAATTTCTATATCTGATTTGGTAGCATTTTGGTCAGGGCCCTTCAGAATTGTAGGAAGTGGTCAGATCATTTTTGTCTAATACTATCCTAATGCCATACTTATAGAGAAGTGTTAATTATAGACCGATCATCATACAATTCGAAGAATTTTTGGTTCATATAAAAATGTAAATGTAAAATTTGATTCCATTTCTATTTACAAAACTATAATCTTTAATCTTAAAATTTAAAGAAACTGGCCCATAATAACAACACACACACTTGACCTTGCATGACCTTTAATAAAAAGGTTAATTATATTGTAAATTACACTAGTCTAGATTGGTTTCCCTGTTAATGTGCTTTAATAAAAGACTTGTGTTAAATTTAATGTGTGTTTAATATTTAAAGACTCGCACATGTTGGAATTTTTAAAATTAAATTAATTTTAAGTTCCAAAAATGCAATAACAACGCCCTCTAGTGTTCAGTAGGAAAACAATATGAAAGTGGTTTGTGTCTAAAATATGCCACCGCACTGTGTTGAAATTTAAACTAATCAAACTGTTAAATTTAAACACAAACGTTTCATAGAACGAGGTCAAATAACAAATATATTAGATGAAGTTTTTTTAAGAAAGCTGATGGATGATGAAGTTTTCTATAGAAAACTGATCGATGATGAAGTTTTCTATAGAAAACTAATCGATTATGAAGTTTTCTATAGAAAACTGATCGATGATGTATTTTTCTATAGAACACTGATCGATGATGTAGTTTTCTATAGAAAACTGATCGATGATGTAGTTTTCTTTAGAAAATTGATCGATGATGAAGTTTTCTATAGAAAACTGATCTATGATGTAGTTTTTTATAGAAAACTGATCGATGATGAAGTTTTCTAAAGTAAACTGATCGTTGATGGAATTTTCTATAGAAAGCTGATCGATGGTGATGTTTTCTTTAGAAAAATAATCGATGTTGAAGTTTTCTACAGAAAAGTGATCGCTGACGAAGTCTTCTATAGAAAGGTGATCGACGATGAAGTTTTCTCTAGAAAAATTATAGACGATAAAGTTTCACTAATTTTTCAATTGGAAGTTTATTTAAGGATCTAAAACTGATTTAATGGGAAATATGAGTGATCACAGATTTTTCAGTATTTTCGGGGCGCTATTTATATTTCGATATTTTCGGGAAATTTTAGTGATCGACTATGAAGTTTTCAATATTTTCTTAATTGAAGCGTTATATAGGGATCTATAGCAGATTTTAAGTTTAAATTTTTCGGGAAATTTTATTGATCACAGATATTCACAATTTTCCAAATTGGAGCATTGTTTAAAGGTCTATAGCCGATTTTAAATTTGTTATATAAAAATTGGCTTTTGGTGGAAAATATGAATTTGTAAGGACTATAGTACCCTGGTTGCTTCGCTACCCTAACGAATTTAATTTTTTATCAAATTTTTTTTACTTTTATAGAAAATTATAATTAAATATTTTTAAAGGTTTCTATTTAGGTTCAATATTATCGAAAATTATCGCATGACTATATTCGCATTCAATAAGGAACGTGTTATTTTTAATTTCATGCCTTTAGCTTCCACATTATACAAAATTTCAAAAAGTACTATTTGAAGGTAGGAACAAGTATCAAAAATACCTCTTATAGATTATAATTCAATTAAAAATGTTTATGTTTCAGTATAATTTGATGAACGAAAAAGTACCAAAACGTTCCTCATTAACTGAGGTCATTCTAACTTCCTTTCAACTCTACCTTTAATCATTTCCCCCACTATATATTGTCTTCAAATATTTTTTTTTATTATTGTAATCTAAAAAAAAAGATACGAATACAAAATGAAACTGAATAAAATTACATATTGCAACAATTATAAAGCAATTAATATTACTTATACGTACCCAACAACCAAACCACTGCCCATTAGAGACAAAACGAAATGAACTGATATCATTTCTTCGCAAAAGGCATGCAAAATTTATGCATGAATGCAAATGCATTTTTTTTTATAAATAATTATGACTTATAAAAAATTATTACAAAATATTTGATAGATAATGATCGCTAAAATGCCATAAGTGATAAACAGCAACAAAACGGCTAATGTTTGTAACACCAAACTGAAAAAAAAAAGACTTTGGCAAACAAAGTGAACAGTAAGGGGAGATTAAGGGAAAAATATGGACAGAAGCGCGAGGTACATAAATAAATCAAATTACAGTGGCATATGCATTAGAGCCTCCTAATAAGGAGAAAGTGTTTGGAAATAGAAGAGCAGCCTGAGCTGCATTTGCTTTTTAAAATTATGACAGGCCTCTTTGTGTTTATGATTATCTATATAAAATCGGTTTAATTTAAAAAGTTGGAAGCAGATTTGTAGAGAATTTCAAACTTAGAGGGTGGTTAGTGAACAAATATAAAAAGTATTTAAAAATGAAATTGGTGAGTTTTCTTTTAATAAAAACTATTTGTTAAAAATATTAATGTTATTATTTTTGTTTAAGCTTTTGGTTATAGTATTGGCTATATTGTCGGCTAATGTTAAGGCCAGCATTATACCAGCAAATCCCATAACTACTACCTATGCTTTGCCTCATACTCCGGTAGCTACTTCCTATCAAGTTGTGGCACGCAATGTTAATCGTGTACTGGTGCCGCATGTACCTTCAGTAGCTTATCCCGGTTATGCCTCCTCGTGGGGCAGTTATCCCTATAACTATCGTTATGGTTTTGGCTATGGTTATCCTTATGGTCATGTTCACAACTATGGCTATGGTATTGGTTATCCTTATGGTTATGGAGCCAGTGTTTGGTAATTCTTTAATTATTTTAATAGATTAACTTTAAGACTGTGTAAAACCAAAAAAAAAAAAAAGAAAGAACAAAATAAAAACACCCACCATCCCTTGTAATCATCATAATATTTAGCACAATATGTTAAATATTCTTTAATAAAAACAAATAAATAAAAAAACAATCTAAAAGGTCACTCAACCTTCTTGGGGTTTTCTTATTATTATTGTATTTTCTTTTTGTTAAAAAGTAAAACACAACCTTGGCATGATTTTTATATTAATTTTTTTTTAGTTTAACAACCTAAAAAAACCAAACAAATACACACATTTAATAAAACCAAAACAAACCATAAATTGTATGTTAAAAAAAAATAAATAAACATTAATAATTACGTGCTCCCACTACTGCATTTAGCAGTTACACAGAAAAAAATAGACAAACTTTTTTTTCAATAAACACATGTTATTAATAAATATTACAAAATTCAATAAAAAAGCTCATTAATTTAATAAATTTTTTATCAATACGGCAAAATTAAAAATATCACTCAATAAAAAGTAGTTGATAAAGAAATTATCGAATTTTCTCATATATTCAATAAACAGTGTTGCAAAATTAAATAATTTGTCTAATTTTTTGAATTTTGACGGTTATTTCACGTTTTTTCATTCATTTTTTTGCCTTTTCAGTAAAAAAAATATTCTTTGGCAACAACAACAACCTAGAAACAAAAAATTCTGCATTTTTTCTCAACAAAGAAGAAAAATAACGGTTATATTTTTTGTTTTGCTTCTGCTTTTTGCAAAAAAAAACCTGTTTCTTAGAGTATTAAGAATCCTGAATAGACAAAACAATGTAGTTTTTGTTTCTTTTTATTTTAGTTTATGATTAGTTGACGTTTGATCTTCTTAAGTGAAAGTGTTTTATATCGTGCGTGTGTAAAAAAGTTAAATAAAATTAAAATATAAATTAAACTAAATAGTAATTAAACTATGTATATAATTACATATAATAGTTATATACATATATAATAGTTATATAATAATTTAATTTGCCAAAATGGTTAGTATCAGTTGTTTTATGTGCAGTGACGTGTTTGATTGCCCAGAGAAGTTTTTAACACATTTAAAATTACACTATACTCCTCCTGGAACAGTGTACATTTGTAATGTTGAAAATTGTTACCAAAGATTTAGTTTAAAATATAATTTTAAAATGCACATTTTAAAACATTTTAAAAAAAGTAAAAGTGAAGAGATTAATGCAAGTTGTGACGATTCAATTATATTAACAGAGAATGTAGAATCAGAAACCCCAAATGTTCCTAAATTTAATTACAATGATTTATTACAAAACGTAAATACCTCCATAAACAAATTTGTAATTCAAATGCATTCTAACAATAATTACACTCGATCTGATATTATAAAATTACAAAAATTAATAGAAAATAATATAGTAACTCCGATTTTAAATTTCATTCAAAATTCAGAAGCAGTAAAATGGGGTTATCTATATGACAATAAATGTTTCATTGGACGATTTTTAAATGATGTAGATATATTTGCGGTTATATGTATTTGTAAAACTAAATCTGATGACATTCTTATATGTGGTCAAAAAGTTACAACTATTTATGACTCTCACTTTGCAGCTTATGAAATAAAAAGTATTTCAAATACTTTCGAAATTATTACACTAAATAATGTTGTAGGACCGCCAGTTGAAAAAGTTGAAACTTCTCTGTTAAATTACATGAATTTTATAAAAGTGTGTACTAATACATGTCTTATATAGGATAATATGAATACAGTTGTTGACAACACTCTACTTGACTTGTTAATCGAATGGGATTTGGAACATCTTCATAATCATTTTACTGGTAAGAATTTTCAACTACATTGCTAATATAAATCGAACTACACAAAATAATGCATACATTTCTTCCAGAACATCGAATAACAACTAAAGTTTTAAAAATTTTAAAACCTGACCACATACGAACACTTTTTCAAGGTCTTGCAGTCGGGGACCAAGCTCTATTTGAATCAAACTTAGAAAGCTGGAGAAAAGATGCCTGTGGTACATTAACAACTTCCCCACAAAACGTAATCGCAAAACAAGCAATTTGTTCTGTATTGACCATGCTTCAAAATACAAAAAATGGAAGATCAATTTTACAGTATTATGAGGAAAACAAAATCCTCCACGAAGAGCAGAGGCAGTTGCTTATTAAAACTATTGCAGCTTATATTGAATCCAAGGATATGACTTACTCGATGACCGATTGTAAGGAAATGGAAAAAGAAATATGCTCCATTTTTCCCACCGAACAATTGGTAAGCTTTATTTCTTTAGAATTTTCACAATTTATTCATGAATTTTTTTTATTTCAGGAATATTACAACAATGGGAAAAGAGGAAAGTTATATTCCAAAATTTATAATTTAAAAAGGCTTTCAAAACAAGTTCTTCAACCTAAAGAGCCTGCTCAGGAGGAATGTCATCAAGAATATGGTATAAATACATATATTGATGTAGAAATACTTATAATAATAATTATTTTTTTTAGTTTCAGAATCAGATGCCAAATATGCTGTTGAAAATCTCCGTAGTAAAGGTATATCAGCTGACGATTTCGATATCTTTTGGAGAAAGTGCTCGCAATATAGATTTAAACAAATGATAGAATCTAAGTCCACTGCAGATATCTTACATGAATGGCCGGAGTACACAAGACCTTCTGGATTCCAGCTGGTAAGAAATCTAAATTTAATAAATATGTAAATGATCAAATTTTAAAATTTTTTTAAATTAATTTAAAAACAATATATATATTAAACTTTGATGAATTTCAAATGTGATTATGTATTATATATAGTATTGATAACTTTCAGATTGATATTGACTTCCATTTAAAATATAAGGATGCTATGGATTTGACATCAAGATGGAATACATACGAGAACAAATTGTTATATTTGCTGACAACAAAAATTACCAGTTCTTTTGTATCACAACAACTAAAAACGTTAACTTCATGCAATCAAGGTATCAAAAAGTTTTTTGTTTGTGCTATTATTTCTATTTAAAGACTTATTATTTTCAGAATCAAAAACGTTTGGAATAATTTGGAATCTTCACTACTTGTTTCCCCCACAACAAAAAGTTATAATGGATGAAAAAGGGGCCAAATTAAGGAAAAAATTTTCAGTGTCCGATTCTCAAGAGGCATTCGCTATAATTGCAAATACACAACAAGAACTTAACGTTAAGCTAAATTTGTTAAAGATTCAAAAATTAAATATACAGCCAAAACTTTTAATTATTGGCAGTGTTTTAGATGTAAAAGAAATTTTTGTGTACTTCGATGACATAAAATATCCTATGTGTAGAGTTTTAACAGCTGTTGACATATTATTCAAAATATTTTTTGTTTTCAATTTGGAATTTCCCAAAGAATCAGAATTATTTTTCAATTTCTTACAAGTATTTTTTTATGAAATAAAAACAGATAAAAAATTTACAAAAATTTTTACTATTAAAAATGAGATTTTAAATCTAAGTGATTTGTAATGTAATTTGGTTATGATAAACTCATAATATCTATAGTACAAAATTCTATTTTATGTTTCGTATACATTTTTGAATTAAAAAATAAAATTGTTTTTTTTTTTTAATTATATAAACTCAATTTTATGTACAAATATCTTAAATTATATATATTTATATTGAATAAACAGCAATATTTTGATTTAATTTAAAATAAAAAACCATACAAATTTAAAAGCATTTCATTTAAAGAAAAAATATTTGAAATTTGGAATAAATTCAACAACATTTTTGTTGAATTTGGGATAAAATTCAATAAAATTTTGATTGCTTTTCTTTTTTAATACAAGCACAACATTTGTTAGTTCAAATATTCTTTTATTGAATTTTTTTTATAATTCTAACAACAAACTTTGTTGATTCAAGTAATATTTTTATTAAAAAATTTTAGATTTGCAACAAAAAAATTTATTGTTTTAAGTAAATTTTTATTAAAAAATATTGTTTTTTTAAAAATCATAATTATTGGTTTAAATACTTTTTTATTAGTTATTGCCTAAAATTTCAATAAAATATTTGTTCAATCTAGAAACATACCTTGGTAAAGATATGATGCATATCAATAAAATGTTTTATTAATTCAATAACTTTTTTTATTAAGTGAAAAAATTACGAATATATTACAATTTAGGTCATTGGTTTGGCGAAAATGTTGATCACAGGAAATTTGAAAAAAAAATTATTGGATACCGGGATTTTTGTTATTGAATGTGAAAATTATTTTTTTCTGTGTAGGCAAATGCATATCTACCTACTACTAGTGGTAGTGGTCAACTCCACACCACCTTAACCACTTATTTGTAAGTGACTGTGTCATTGCAGACAAGTCTTCATTTTGTCGTTTTGGACATTTTAATTTGTCTACGTGCCAAGTTTTAATAAGTTTTTTGTTTAGTATTTTCATTTAATCATTAGTATTTTTTTTTTAATAATTTTCAACCCATTCATTCCATTTTCATAAAATTTTAAATGTGTGAACATTTAACGCTACATTGTCACTTTATTTACTTGTTTTTAGTTTCTACAAGTTTATTTTTTTTGTAATATAAAATCATGCCAAAAATGATTAGATAAGTATGGTGTGAATGACAGGAAATTAGATGCAAATGTTAAAAGAAAACAACTAGGAAGATAGTAGTGATAGTCGCAATATGATATTAAATACCTATTTGACACTAAATTTGGTAAAATAATAATAAAAGGTTCCCATCTCTTCCTACTGCAGGGCAGAGTTACGGGCTTTATCTTGTCCCTGTTATTGGAGTGGTCCCTTCCTTGTGAACATGGTGGCTGTGGTATAAATCCAATTTCGCTGGAAGAGAATGTGAATAAAGTCTATAATTCGGGATAAGTTCGGTGCGGATAGCCCACAGAGGAGTGACTGTGGAATTAAGCGTTAATTGTATATGATAAAAGATGAATGTAGAGGTATACGGATCTTGCCCACCCTTATACCTATAGTAAGTGTGTTCGATGTTGTTCTCTATGGGTGTGTCGAACACCCATAGAGAACAATGGGTTGAATGGTGATGAATGAAAGATATCTTATACAAGAGATATCATTAAATTTTCCTTCCTTTTCCAGGTATATTCTGGGAAAACTCTGTTTATACCAGATTTTCCACAGTGTATTCTCTGTGAGTAAGCACAAAGTTCTCGGCTTATTTGATAAATTCCCGTCTCTTTATTCAGTATACCCAATACGTCTCTAGGTGCTGTTGCCGACTCAATAGAGGTCGTCCCATCTGCGTGGTTGTAAACGGAAGTGATGTTTTTTGCATCTCGGAAGTTAAGCAACTGGGCAGCAATGGTCAGAGATTAGATAGCTCGAGTACTTGAGCAAAGTGGTTGTACATGGGCCGACATGGACAAAAAATGCCATCTGCGTGTAAGATACACAAAAGGGCGGTGGAAAGTCGTCAAAAAAACTCAAAATGTGGATGGAAAAGACCACAGTGAAAGCACTTCGACATATTGTACCAATTTAAACATCTCCTTTATACCCACTATCAAAAGGGAACTTTTAAGATTCTAAGACGAACTAGCAATGTCAATCCGTTAAAATTGCGATAGGACCTAAACGGGAGAAGCTAAAGGGTTCAAATATTCTCTGCAGTTTGCTTGGAACTGTGCAAAAAGGATCCTCATTTTATCGTCGTCTCCATGTAATGTTCACAGTTTCAAATATACAAGTAAAGTGATGAAGTTTGACATAAATAAGTTCTTTATAACCTAAAACCACTTTCCCCAATTTCAAAAGTATCGGTCCATAATTGAGCTTCCTTCGTATATACCCATCTTACAGAAAATCACTTTATTCTTAATAAATCGTCTTAACAACAAGCTATTAAGAGAAATTTAACAAAAAATGTTTTGATATTAGAAACTAAATCTCTAATTCTGAGGAGTTTGGCTCGTAATTGACAAGTTCCTATAAAAGCTTCTCTTATGAAAATCACCCTATTAGAAACTAATTACTCTCGATTTCTGGGGAGTTTAATATTAAGAGAAATTTAACAAAAATTATTTTATTGCTCTCTTGAATTCCCTATGTTGGCTCTTCCGAAAAGCACTCTATTCTTTTAGGATCAGACCTAGACCAATAAGGTCTAAAATTTAGGAGCTATAGGGATGAGATATTCTCTGTAGTTTGCTTAGAAGCTGGAAAATGAGTTTATCGTTCATAACAGACTTAAAAATACAAGTAGAGTGAGAACATTTTACATCATATATAACCCCTCTTAAAGGAAAACATATTATTGTCAATAAATCTTCTAAAAATCAAGATATTACAAGGAATTTAACAAAATTGTCCCGTTATTAGAAACTAATTACTTTCTCAATTTCTGAAGAGTTCTGCCAAGAGTTGATTCAAGTCCCCATAAAAGGCTCTCTTTCAAAAACACCTTATTCTTTTAACATCAGACCTAACCTAAGATCAGATTGGTTCTTTATTAGAAAGCACGACAGGACCAGGATTGCCAGAAAACAAGAAAATTGTAATCGCTTAAAGCTACAACTAGTGTGCTGAAATTTGACATAAATAAGATTTTTTTTAACCGAAATCACTCTACTCAATATGTCGATAAAACCCTTCTTAAAGGAAAATCACTTTATTGTCAATTAATCATCTAAAAATCATGATATTAAGAGAAATTTAAAAAAATGACCGGTAATTAGCAACTTATTACTCTCTCGAATTCTGGAGTGTTTAATCTATAATTGACCCAAGTCTCCATATATGACTCTTTTCTGAAAATCACCCTATTCTTTTAAGATTACACTAAAACTAAACTAAAAAAAGTTTTGTCACCGTCTGCTCCCTCTAAAGAAGTAGAATGGAAAACTTTTACACCTGATTTGTGACCCCCGTAAAGGATTATCCTTTATCTGAAAATACGTAACGTTTTATCTGAAAATACGTTACGCTTTTCACAAATCTATTATTATAAATCGATCGTTACCAACATCCTTTTTAAAGTCTTTGTAAGAAAGTGAAATCAAAATATGATTACTTCGCGATGCGATCAATTGTTCACTAGTGAGTAAATCTTTCATTCAAATATCGAATTATATAGATTCGTTAAATCATTCAGAAATGATATAACAATCACAAACCGTACTCTTTAGAGATCAAACTAACAGCAAATGACGGTTCCGATCGTATTACGTCGTACTGATTATCGCAACTTCTAAAAGAATTATTGAAATATTTGAAAAATACTTCAACTACTAATACTTTCTTCTTTGTAGTTCAGAACAAATCCAGTTTTAGTTTTCAATCGTTTAACCTCGACCTCAGTTCCTAAAGCCACAGTTCTAATTCATTAGAAAGTGTTCGAAGATTTTTTTCTTTATCCTAAGCATCAGAACTTCTTAAGAAGTGATTGATAGACCTGAAAATATAACTATTAAAATACGTAGTCAATCCTCTGAGAATTCTAACAGAGACTTGGAATTTTGGAACAAAAAGCTTCCAAAAACATTGCACTACTGAAAAGGTTAAGTTCTATGCGCTTTAGAAGTCACAAAAGAAAAGTTGTCTGTTGAGCTCAAGAAATCTTATATGGAGAACATTTTGGATTTGAAAGTGGCTGATGGAGCTTTGAAATCAAAGATATCTTGGCGATTGGTCAATTCTAACAACTTACGACACAAAAAACACTACATGAGATTTTTTTTAATAAATAATCATTTTTTCATTCTTTATTCCACTCACTTTAAATTATCCATAATAAGCCGTAGTTAAATGCTTAAAACACAACTGGAGCTGGGGCAGCAGCATAAGTCAAAGGTGCAGAGTAAGCAAAAGGAGCAGCAGCATAGGCAGCAGGAGCAACAACGGGGGCGGCAAAAGTCTTAGCAACAACGGGAGCGGCAAAAGTCTTAGCAACAACTGGAGCAGCTACTGGAGCAACAACGGGAGCCGAAGCAATGCCATTATGGTTGCGGGCAACGAATTGGCTGCTGGTGGCAGTAACAACACCAGCGGGTGCAGCTACTACGGCAGCGGGAGCAGTGTAAGCCAAAGGAGCTACAAGACCAGGTTTGGCAGCAGCGCAGGCAATCAAAGCGAAGATAACAACGGCCTAATGGTACAGAAATTTGAATAAGTTAATCCAAAGTCCTTTAAGTTTATTGTTGATCTTTTTAATACTTACAAATTTGAACATTTTGAAATTGTTTGTTTAAGGAACTGTTTAGTAAAACTACTAGAATGAGATTGATAACAATCTCGAAATAAACAGCTTAATTTATAGGAATTTAGTTTCCACTTTAATTTAATATGCAAATAGTGTTTTCAATTTATAGCATTAAAGGTTGGAAATAAATATTTACTTAGCTGAGCTTGCAAGCAATGAAAGGGAACTAAACACAACTGAATAGTAGCTGAACAACAACTTCATTATTTATGCGGGTGATAAACTGTCTTTTAGTATTTTGGGTAATTTTTAGTCATATTTAGAGGACTTTTAAATTGTGTTTGCTTCTTTTTTTAAACACTCAACCATTTCAAGAACATTTATTACCAAAATGGAATGAAGGACTTAGTTATAGGAAAACCCCTTACTGGTTTTTTTAAAAAATAAACATTTCTAACGGTTTTCTGTATATACCGCTTCAAGTATAAATATCGTGTAATTTCAAAAATTTGTCATCAGTTATATCTGTATCTAATAACTAAACAAACATTAAATCTTCGCCTTCAACAAAATGTTCAAATTCATCGCTGTTATCTTCGCTTTGATTGCTTGCGCTGCTGCCAAACCTGGTTTGATTGGTGCTCCTTTGGCTTACACTGCTCCTGCCGCCGTTGTTGCTGCTCCCGCTGGTGTTGTTACTGCCACTAGCAGCCAATTTGTTGCTCGCAATCACAATGGTATTGTCTCAACTCCCGTTGTTGCTCCCGTAGCCGCTCCTGTTGTTGCCAAGACTTTCGCTGCTCCCGTTGTTGCTAAGACTTTCGCTGCTCCTGTTGTAGCTCCTGCTGCCTATGCTGCCGCTCCTTTGGCTTACTCAGCTCCTTTGCACTATGCCGCTGCTGCTCCAGTTTTGTTCTAAGATGCTTTAACTGTTGACGACTTTGTATAGGATTTTTAGTTAAATAAAATAGATAATTTATTAAAGAAAATTAAGAGTTTTACTTGCTATTGCTACTTCGTTATAGTGGTCTTCAGAATTTGCCTTTCCGAAGTGTTTTAAGCACTCTAAAGATATCTGGAAACCAAAATCAGGTCTTTGACAAGAATACAAATTAATTCTTAGTTTAATTAAATATGTTGAAGATTAAGAGTAGGGTTCTATAGTTGAAACGAAAAGTCGACTTTTCGACTTTTTTCATTTAGTTAAAAGTCGACTTTTCGACTCTTTGCATTATATGAAAAGTCGATTTATCGACTTTTTTCATTTAACTAAAAGTCGACTTTTAGACTTTTCGACTATAAGCGTTTTATAAATAGTCGACTTTTCGACTTTTTCTGACTTTTCGACTTCTTTCGACTTTTTCCGACTTTTTTCGTCTTTTCGACTTTTTCCGACTTTTCGATTTTTTCGACTTTTTGACTATTTTCGACTTTTTTTTACTATTTTTTTTACTTTTTTTGAGTTTTTCCGACTATTTTAGAGTTTTTGACTTTTTTTCCACTTTTTTTAAATTTATGACTATTTTTGACTTTTTTCTACAATTTTCGAGTTTTCGACTTTTTCCTACTTTTCGACTTTTCGACTTTTTTCACAGACGATAGTCGAGTTATCGACTTTTTTGGAACAAAATAGTCGACTTCGACTTTTTTCGACAAAAAGTCGATTGTTCGAAAGTCGATTTATAGAACCCTAATTCAAACCAAGTCCAACATTAATAATTTGCTTTGAAGTTCACAGTTAGTGAAACTTGTTCGATCAAATCTCAAGTGACTCAAACATAAAATGACTGAATCTGAGAAATAATTTTCTGACATTTTAATGTTCGAAAATGATTGTCCGGGGTATGTTACCTTGAAGAACTTCCCCATCTTGGTGTTATTGCAAAGTAGTTAAACCAGTACCTCTATTCTCCCGGGACTATAAACTGCACCACCATGATAGTTTCTAATGCATCCTCGACCCTGGAATAATTTGACCTAAAGACGAACCAGAGACTTAAGCACGTGGTGGCTGTGATTTAAACCCAAAATCTCGAGATGAAATCTATATGTCGGCATAAGTTCGGATCGGTTGCGGAGCTAAGCATTGGAAATGGTTTGGTGTCAAAAGAATAAGATGCGGAATGGATGTAGGGTAGACAATCCTCACCCCATGTTTTTCTCAATGAATGTGTCGGATAAATGAGAAGAGTGTTGGGTTTAATGGTGTTGGTTGTACGGAATCTTATTCATCATTGAGTTTGTATGTTCAGAATTTGCTCCGATCTTACCAGACTTATTTGTAGTATGTTGTCTTTGAGTAAGAGCTTATCTTTGGCTACTTCGGTGTACCCATTACTCTCTGTTGCCGAATCAACAGAGGCTATTGATTGCAAACGAAAATGAAGCATTTGCATCTCGGAAGTTACGCAATAGAACAGCGATGGTCAGAGATTAGATAGCTTAAGTATAGGAAAATGTATAGTATAAGAAAATGTATAGTCTCTCGCAACTAGAAAAGAAACCTCGTGGTTGGGTTGGTTTTAAATATGTTGGATGTGCGAAATCTTGTCTTTGAGTGAGAGCTTGTCTTTGGCTTATTTAATGGGTTCGTACTTCGATCTACCCATTACTCTCTGTTGGCGAATCAACAGAGGACATTGATTGTAAACGGAAGTGATGCATTTGCATCTCGGAAGTTACGCAATAGGACAGCGATGGTCAGAGGTTAGATAACTCAAGTATTTAAGCAGATTGTTTGTGTTCCTTAGGGTTTACAAGGGAACGTAGGTAGTCCCGTTTCTAGCTCATTATTTGGTTGCAAAATACCGTGAAATAATGCCGCAAGAAAGGTGTTCACGTAAGGCACTTCAAGATCTTGTGTGATAATGTATAGTGTTCCGGAACTAGATACTGGAGGAGCTAAATGATCCCTCATGGTTATTTGAATAGTGGTTTGACCACAACACCTATCACATCTGGTACTGTGATAATATGTTGCCCGCAGGATTCGTTCCATACTGGGTATTGACGAATACCTTTGGCTACAAGTATATGTTGTGAATTAAACTCAAATCACGGGAAAAGAATGTTAGTTCCAAGACAGATGAACGGTAGAATTAAAATAAGTTTCCGATGCTGTTTCCAACCCATAGAAGTACAACAGGGAATGAATTGATATCACAAGAACTGAATGTAGAGTGCGCGGGACATTTCACAAAAGAGCTTATTTTGCGATCAACCATATTTTCAAACAAACAAAGATTTTTTCAAAAAATGTCTGACCAGGCACTGATATCCACTTAAGGATTAGGATATATTAATGAACTTTTTCTTAAAACTTCTAACATAACAGCCTAGAGACATGAAACCTTAAAATTTCATTCGTTATATGCTTGTTAGAGTGATTATGAATCAATTTTAAACTATGGACGCATTAAAAAATTAACAACAAATGATTTTAATAATAATTTTGTTTATAAATAAATTATATTTATTATTTCGTTAAAAGTTTCTTATCACAGTTCATTAAGTTTTTTATTACCACAAAGCAGGGGCAGCGGCATAAGACAAAGGAGCTGAGTAGGCCAAAGGATGAGAGTAAGCGGCAGCGTATTTAGCAACAACTGGAGCAGAGTAAGCTAAAGGAGCAGCAGCGGCGTATTTGGTTACAACAGGAGCGGAGTAAGCTAAAGGAGCAGCAGCGGCGTATTTGGCTACAACTGGTGCAGAGTAAGCGAAAGGATGAGTGTAGGCAGCAGCATATTTGGCAACAACGGGAGCAGCTACAGGAGCTACAATGGGAGCGGTAGCAATACCATTATAGTTGCGGGCAATAACTTGGCTACTGGTGGCAGTGACTACGGGAGCTGGGGCAGCAACAACGGCAGCGGGAGCAGTGTAAGCCAAAGGAGCACCAATAAAACCGGGCTTGGCGGCAGCACAGGCAATAACAGCGAAGATAACAACGGCCTAATTAAGTTTTATTTAAAATTAATACAAATACTTTAATTAAAGTGAAATTACTGTTAATACTTACAAATTTGAACATTTTGTTTAAGTTAATTTAAAATATAGTTTGCTTAATGAAACTGTTTAAATGAGTTTGATGTAAAATCCCAATAAACTAAAACTATTTATAAGAAAATTTATTTCAAAAATGTCACAAGCACAAATAAATAAACTCCAGTTTTTAAATTGAGCTAATTAATTATGCGCGGGAGCATAAAGACTACACTATATGATAACGTGTGCTATGAGCTGATTTCAGCAGAAGTTAAAAAACCAAAAAAATAATTATTGTCTATAAATTTAAACATGTAGACAATGAAGTATGTATTGTTGATACCAAATATTATTTCTTTCACAAAAATTTTCAAGAACATGGACATTGAACATGAAGGACAGTAAGATATTGTAAATAACTGTAAAGTTTTTTAGTAAAGAATAGTTTTTTTTATATAAATACTAATAATTTGGAAGTAACAGTATTATTAACAATTCTTTACTTGTTAAGAAAACATCAAAACAAATTTTAACAAAATGTTCAAATTCGTAAGTATTTCTTATTTGAAAGTGTTAACTATTCCTATAAATAACTATCATTTCAACATTTTAGGCTGTTGTCATCTTTGCTGTCATTGCCTGTGCTGCTGCCAAACCCGGTTTCATTGGTGCTCCTTTGGCCTACACTGCTCCCGCCGCTGTTGTTGCTGCTCCAGCTCCTGTAGTCACTGCCACCAGTAGCCAGGTTATTGCTCGTAATTACAATGGTATTGCCACTGCTCCAATTGTAGCTCCCGTAGCTACTCCCGTTGTAGCCAAAACTGTTGCCCCTGCTGCTTTCGCTGCTCCTGTTGTTGCTAAATATGCTGCCGCTTACTCTCATCCTTTGGCCTACTCCGCACCTGTTGTAGCTAAATATGCTGCCGCTTACTCTCATCCTTTTGCTTACTCCGCTCCTGTTGTAGCTAAATATGCTGCTGCCTATACTCATCCTTTGGCCTACTCAGCACCTTTGACTTATGCCGCTGCTCCAGCTTTGTGGTAAAAAGTGGTTTTAAAACGTTTAAGACGATGTGATTTAAATAGTAATAAAAAAACTATTAATTTATTTAAAAAAAACAATACTCTTTTATAATTTGAACATTAGCATAATCTGCTCTTTAGGCCATATAGTTTCCGAGATATGATTTGCTTTTATGCTTTTAATAGAAATTTTATCACAGATCTTCTCTTAGATTCCGAAACCTAATCTTTAGTTTTACACTAGAAAAATCTAAAAAAAAGACTTTTTTATGGTGAATGTGTTCTAAAAATGCTTTTCATAAGTTGGACATTAGCATTCTGAGATATGGTTTACTATTATGTTTTTACTAGAAATTTTATCACAGATCACAGATTTTCTACTAGATTCCGAAGCCTAATCTTTAATTTTACACTATAAAAATCTACAAAAAAATAATGTGTTCTAACAAGCGAGAGAGAGAGAGAGGAGTTGTACGTTTCACAATTTAAATTCGAAGCAATTTCAAAACGTTTTACGAGTAGAGATCATATTTAATAGCCACCCAACTAAAATCATTACTAAACCGAAATATCCATGGTGATAAAGTGGGATCAAACGGTGATTTCAGCAGCTTATAATACTGAAAAGAACAGATTCTCTTGAAGATGGTATTGGCCGAAAAATGCCAAGAATATCCTGGCCGACATGAAAGAGTTATATTTCATTACAGCATCTTTCTGTCAAGTGTTTAAAACTATTTCGAAAAATTAAGAAATTTCATGTTTCTATGTTCAATATTATAAAAAATTCAAAAAGTACCTTTTGTACTTCAAAAAGTACCTTTTGTAGAACGAAAAAGTACCAAAAAGGCCACTTTTATGTGTTTTTGCCTAATCCGGGCTCTACATACTTAATTTTATGTTTCTGGGTTCAATATTATAGAAAATTCAATAAGTACCTTTTGAAGAACGCAAAAGTACCAAAAAGTCCCCTGTTATAGGTTCTCACCTAATCCGGGCCTTACATGTTAAACTTTATGTTTCAGAGTTCAATATTATAAAAAATTCAAAAAGTACCTTTTGTAAAACGAAAAAGTACCAAAAAGTCCCCTTTTATAGGTTCCCACCTAATCCGGGCCTTACATGCTAAATTTCATGTTTCTATGTTCAATATTATAAAAAATTCAAAAAGTACCTTTTGTAAAACGAAAAAGTACCAAAAAGTCCCCAGTTATAGGTTCTCACCTAATCCGGGCCTTACATGCTAAATTTCATGTTTCTAGGTTCAAAATTATAGAAAATTCAAAAAGTACCTATTGTAGAACGAAAAAGTTCCAAAAAGGCCCTTTTTATGTGTTCTCGCCTAATCCGGGCTCTACATACATAATTTTATGTTTCTGCGTACAATATTTTAGAAAATTCAAAAAGTACCTTTTGCAAAACGAAAAAGTACCAAAAAGTCCTCTTTTATAGGTTGTCACTAACTCCGGGCCCTACATGCTTAATTTCAGGTTTTTAGGTTCAATATTTCAGAAAATTCAAAAAGTATCTTTTGAAGAACGAAAAAGTACCAAAATATCCCCTTTTATAGGTTCTCACCTAATCCAGGCCCTACATAATTAATACCACGTTTCTATAGTCAATGTTATAGAAAATTCAAAAAGTACCTTTTGAAGAACAAAAAGATACCAAATAGTCCCCTTTTATAGGTTCTCACTTAATCTGAGCTCTAAATGCGTAATATCATATTTCTAGGTTCTATATTATAGAAATTTCAAAAAGTACCTTTCAAAGAACGAAAAAGTACCAAAAAGTCCCCTGTACTTCCTAGCCAAATACGATTTTGCTCATATCCCCGTTATTTATGAACCAATTTTATATAGGAAACTTCTCGAAAGCTTGTCTGACAGAATTGTTGTAGATTTGCATCCCAAAGATATCTGGGTGTTCAAAAACTTGATTTTAACAAACAGACGGACGGACATAGCTTCGACTCGACTCCCCTATCTATAAGGACTCGGAATATATAATTATATGAACTCTATAGGGTCGGAAAATTATATTATAGAAATTACTAACGGAATGGTAAACTTATTTATCCCCCATTCACGAAGGTAAATGGTGTAATTATAATGAACCTGGAAACATGGAATTAATTAAAAATCTATTAAGGACAATTATTTTAGTACCTTTTCGTTCTTCAACTGAATACTCAAAATTTCAATTGATATCGAACTAAGAAAATTAAAAATGCAGAGTCCTGAGTAATTTAAAATCTATATAAAGGTACCCGGGTAAAGCTAATATGCATACATATAAGAAAAGAAGATATGTAAGTGTCTTACCTTTTGAATTCCGAAAATGATAACTTCTTAATTTCAATTCATTAAATTTTAAATGCAATTTAATTTCACTCTCTTTTTAGAAAATTTTTATTATTTATGGCCGATTTTTACAATTCCCCATAAAGGAAGAAATTATACTTATGTAAGTTTTGAAAATAATGGCTGGATTTTAAAGTTCTTACTAAAAGGCTCAGTTCCGCATACACCGTAATAGGTGCCGAAAACAAAATTGTATATACATACATACATATGTATGTACATATTTGTACCGAAAAAAGTAAGTTTTTTTCGTGGCAAATGTATAAAATTTATTTTTCGGTGCCGATTACGGTGTTTGCGAAAACCTGCCTTAAGGGAAGAATTATGCTTAAGTTTTGAAATTTTTAAACTTAAGTTAACTATAAAAACAGCCCTATATCAATTATACAAAACTTAAGTACAGTGTCTCTCATAAGTATTCGAATTTAGGTAAACTATGAAAAGAAACCAAATTTAATAATATATTTTGTGTGGAAAATAAATAAATTAATTTGTTATATTGTCTAGATAGTCCTTAGTTTTGATATCACGGCTTAAAATTTGAAAACTTTACATTTACTTAAATTATTTGTGCTTTTTTTAAAAAAAAGTCCATGAAACTACTTCACAAAAGTATGCGAATTTTTCCCGTATTTCATATTTGATCATATTATACGATATACAAATTTTAGAATCGCATGGTTTTATGCTTAATATTGTTTTAAGGGGTTACTATCAACCGCATGGATATATTTTTGACCCATTTGGTCCACAATTTTGGGGGATTTGTACCCCCTTTTCATGTAATATCATTAAAATGGCGATTTTTGGCTATATTTGTATGTTTTCACCCTTTTTCCAGAGATAAAACCAAAATTTAATATTGGAATTTAATAGAACCCATAGGGTACCTAAAAATAATATTTTTTGTTATAAGGATCTGTACTTAAACGTTCCAAGATGTATTTTTTGGTATCGGTTTTCAGTTTCTAATTGAATTATCTGGATCATAAGTCCCTTTTCGTACCTCTAGGGACGATATTTTCCGACAAAGTTGTCTAGTGTATATTCATGTACATATTGGCACTAATGTATTTTAAATTTTCAATATATTATAGCGGTATACAACCCCAAAATATGCCTTAACAAAACGTCATCCTATATAGTAGATTTCAGTTTTTACTACTCGTAACTTTCACGCTTATGTAGCCCGTTACAATAACACTGTAAGTCCTAAATTTTGGTTTTAATTTGATCATAGTAAATAATATTTAAACACATATCAACATTTTTGATGTGATCATAATGATATCGTGCCATGCAGCATGGAGGCCATTGGTATATAAAAATAATGATTTTACTATTTTGAATGGTGCTTCTTCGAGGCATGTTTTGGAGTTTTACACTTCCACAACACATTGAAAACTTAAAATGTATAAAAGCTGATATCTAAAAGAATATATACCAGAAAACTTTCCCCGAAAATAGTTGATCGTAGTATTATAAAAATGGACTTAAGTTCCAATATATTGAATTAGCGACAGAAAAATGATCCGAATAATTTATCTTGGAACGTTTAAATACAGATTCTTGTAACAAAAAATATTATTTTTAGATACCCCAAGGGGTCTTTTAAGTCCCAATATCAAATTTTTGTTTTATATCTAGAAAAAAGGAGAAAATTTTGCAATTATGGCCAAAAATCGCCATTTTAATGATATTACATGAAAAGAGGGTACAAATTCCCCAAAATTGTGGACCAAATGGGCCAAAAATATATCCTTTCCGTGGATAGTAACCCCTTAAAACAATATTACGCATAAAAACCATTCGATTCTAAAATTTGTGTTGCGTATAATATGATCAAATATGAAATACAGGAAAAATTCGTATACTTTTGTGAGGCAATTTCATGGACTTTTTTTAAAAAAGCACAATTAATTTAAGTCAATGCAAAATTTTCAAGTTTTAAAAAGCGTGATATCAAACATAAGGACTATCTAGACAATATAACAAATTAATTTATTTATTTTGCACACAAAATATATTATTAAATTTGGTTTCTTTTTATAGTTTACCCAAATTCGAATAATTATGAGAGACACTGTATATTCAATTCCCTTAAAGTAAACTATAAAACCAGCCCTGACACTTTTTTTAAATTATTTTATTATTATTTAATTACTTTATTATTATTTTCTATTTTAAATTATTACATATTTTCTACCTATTTAACACTTATGTTTTATTATTTTATATAATTTTGCAAATTTATTTTATTTACATTTTAATGATATTTATAACACTTTAATTGACACATTATTTAGCGTGGGCACAAGAACAACAATTACTCTTGCACAGTTTTGTCTTAAATATTGTTATTGCTTTTTGTTTTATGTTTGAATGTCATACAAAAGTGACGCGACATTTACTACGGTTCTTTACTTATGCATTTGTTGTTGTTTTTCATGCCCTTTTTGCTTTTCACCACTTGTACTTAATCACATTTTTTGGTAATTCTTATAGTTACCAACTTTATTCACAGATAAAACTTTTTTTGCAACAATTTGTATTATAATTTTTATATCATCTTAAAGTTTACAATTTTCTCTTTAATTTGTTACTAATTTTATTAAATTTGATGCACTTTTACTAATTTAATTATTTAAATAACAATTGCAATTTGCATTTTACTTGTTGACCATTCACAAAAA